TGAAAATGATGATAATAGTTATATTTGAATAAAAAGCAAACAAACATCTGTTCCATCGATAAAATACATTTTTTTTTATTTAATCAAATTACATGGCAACAACAACAACAACAACATTATCAGCAGGTCAATATTGTATGAATCATTCAATATTTATTTGATTTTATAAAATTGATAAACCAAATGGAACGATCGATACAATTCAATTAAGTTAGGTCAGGTTTTTCCCATTTAGTTCTGTGTTCTGTGTGCATTACATTATAAGATTTTGTTCTTCCAAAGACTACAAAATAAATACCTGCTAAACACTGTAAGTAATGAGAGAAAAAAAAAATAACCTTCAAAGCAAACAAAACGAAAAATCACGATGTTCATCGATGATGATTATGGTATTAGATAGATAACCTGAGTAGATTCCCAGGAACCAAAGTAAAAAAAACTACGTGTGAATCAAATCAAATTGAATAACAGTGATTTTTCCATCCAGAGATTGTGCAATAAAAATGATGATGATGGTAATAAAAGAGAGAGAAAAATATATGTGATTTTTTTCTATTTTGCTTTTTCCTTTTTTATTGTCATAATTTATATGATTTGTCACATTCACAATGTAATAATCATATTTGATACTTACCCATTTTGATTTTAGTTAGTTAGTTTAGTTTAGTTTAGTTTTAAAAAACTGCCACATCAAATTATTATTATTCGAATATAAGATAAAATTTTGTTGTTCAAAGTTCAGCCATTGGCTTCTTCTATTAGCTATTATAGTAAGTTATACAATCGATCAAATTTGTCAATTGAACATCAGCAACCATCATTCTTGATTTTTTTTTAAAGAAAAAAAAATGAATTTTTCACATTCGAATCATTTGTTTTGTAATTTGATTGATTGATTCACTAATATTTACTGTTTTAATTTCTTTTTATTCTCTCATCAGATTTGATTGTTTTGTAATAATTTCTTAATCATTCGAACCATAATTAAGAAATAAAAAATGGGTTTATTTCATAGTCCAAAATGTCGTCTATTATCAATGTTATGTTTAACATTTTTCTTTTTTTTGGTCGAAATTATTGTTGGTTATTTAACAAATTCAAC